TCACAGATTTTATTATTACTACTAGGTGATAAATATTTCTCAGAAATCAAATAAATTAAAAAGTATTATTTAGTGGTTAAAAATTGCTAATGATTTAAGTTCAATTTTTTTCATATGAAATAATATATTTTTTCTTTTCTGTTTGTTGGCACTATTTTTATTTTCATTAAAAACATCATTTACAATTCAGTTAACAAAAAAAAAATTGAATTGATCATTGTATCCAATTTTATATCATAATAACCAAATAAGAATTTGTTGTTTCTAAAAATTTCTCCATTTCTATTGATGTTGTAGTGTCGATTTTGTCGTTAACACATTGCACCAAAGTACTACTATTGTGTGTGTAAATTCTTTTGAAATTTGAAAATTTGACAAAACAAAACACGACATATTGTGGAGTAGCTGTAGCTTTCTTACCGTGTGATTTTAGATCATCCCAAAACACAATCAAAATTAATCTACCACTAAAAAGTGATATAATAAGATACTTATCTCCCGTTAATCACCCTCCAAATCTCACAAGTTAATGTTACTCGCATCCTCATATTTGACTTTATCTTGGTCATTGTCCATCTTCTTGGCTTTTGATAACTCGACCAAACCCTCAAGAACCTTATCGACACGGTCATTCCGCATAAGCTGTTCATCCACATAATATGCTCCCTTAGTGATCGTGCTCTTGATCTCCAAATCTTGCTCCTCTTTTTTGACCTTGTCTTGTTCGATTTTGGTCTTCTTGAAATTCAAGAACTCCATCAAACCCTCAAGAATCTTATCAACAGTGTCAGTTTTCATAAGTTGTTCAGCGACTTCTGCTGGACTAACCTCTGTTGCTTCGATACTTTCCTCTATCTTGTTGAAAAGCTGATGTTCTTCAACATCTCGATAGTTTAAAGCAAGAGCCTTGAAAGTACTCGGCGTGTAGTATGACATGTGGATGTGCATATCCATACGTTCTGGCCTCATCAAAGCCGCATCGAGTTTCTCTTTGTAATTTGTTGTGAATATTATGATACGTTCATCTCCACAGCTTAACCATAAACCATCTATGAAATTTAGCAATCCAGAGAGTGTCACTTTATTGTACCGTGGGTCATTAGTTTCGTCTGATTCCCGAGGGGGTTCATCAATTATCCTATCTTTCAATTCGATCGAACAATCAATATCTTCCACAACAAGAATCGAACGATTAGCAGTGGAAATCAACAATCTCCGGAGCTCAGAATTGTTTTTAACCGCAGTTAACTCTAAGTCATAAATATCAAAGTTGAGATAATTGGTGATGGTTGCGATCAAACTTGATTTCCCTGTTCCTGGTGGACCGTACAACAAATAACCTCTCTTCCAAGCTTTACCAAGCTTCTTATAGAAGTTTTTGCGTTGTATGAACTGGTCAAGATCCTCAATCACATTTCTCTTGACATCTAAGTCCATTGCTAGCGTCTTGAAGGTAGAAGGATGGTCAAGAATCACAGAGGTCCAAGCGTCTCCGTAAGTCTGAAACATGTTATCTGGGTCCAAAGTGAAGATCTTGAGTGTTTTCATTTCTTGCTTCATCAACTTGGCTCTTTTCACCATGAATGGCAAGTAGGATTTAAGAGCTACGTCCTTGAATTTCTTGTGCAAGTTAAGCTTGAATGATCTAACCTCGGATCTCAACATCGAGTTTAAATCCCGCGGGTTGTGAAATTTCTTGGACTTAACATAGCAGCAATGGAAAACCCACCGGAATTTGACTCCATTAAAGGTGTCCATAACTTCTTCATCACGTTCCAACATGACGTTGTAGTTGTTCTCTTTCTCGTGTTTACTCACTTCTATTGTTTTGTTAAAAGGAGAGATTTTGGTGGCCAAATAAGTCTTTGCCGCCTCAAAGACTTCATTGTGAACAAACCCTTCAAATTCTTCGATGATTATTGTCATCTAGGAAAGAGAAGTAACCGAAGAAGTTATGGAAGCCATAAGAGATGTAGTGGTGCACCTCCCCAGGCAAATAATCTACAACTATTGATCTAGCCAGCATTGCGGTTGCAGCCACCGAGGCCACGGTGGTGAAAATCATCTTAACCGTGGCTAGACAGGATTCCGCGGAAGAAGAGTCAGAGGAGCTCATCTTCTTTGGGTTTGTTTAAACACACTTGACAACTGAATACATTATTGTTTTACCTTGAAGGATACATGATTTACGCTCAAAGTGTTTTAGCTTTTAATCAATTTCTTAGTGAGATGTCTAGTGGTTTTGAAGATTTAGCCTTAAACTAGCTAATAAGCTATATATATTAGGTTTGCGTCTCTTTTTTTGGGAAAAAGGATAAATCTATAATAGTAAAATACAATTGGCGAACAATATAGATTCATGGGTTGACTGCACTGTTCCCCCCAAACTTTTTTCATTCCTACCGAATCCTCTCCATACTTTAGACCTCTTTGTATTTCCACCTCAGAAAGTACAGCTCTTCATAATTCCCCCTGAACTAGTTAATCTCTTCATTTTTTTCGAAATCGTGTTTGTGGGTCA